TCCCCAAAGTTACAGCCATTGCAGCACTCCTGCAGTCATGTGATCAAAATTTGGGCACTTGGCAGCCCGCCCCTACTTATGACCATAAGGGCACTTCAACTCCCCCACCCGCTGTAATGGTATGTGGGAAAGACCTTGGGAGACTGGGCAAAGAGATGCTACCAAGGCTAAGAGCTAAAAAACAGCCAAGCCCCCAGGTGGATAGTGGGTGGGGCAAAAGGCTAAAAAGAGGCACCCCCCCCCCCAGTTTCTGGGGCTGTAAAGGAAATGGGGTGGGGAGGAGAAATATACTTTCAGACTTGCAAGATTCTGTCAATGTAGCTTTACAATAAAGTAGAATTAGCTCATTTGGTCATATTTCCTATCTGGTTTGCCCTGCAAGGCTGGCACCCACCTATCTTCCCCCATCTATGCCCTTTTGGCCCCCTGCACTCCGCAGCCCTGCCGCCCTAGCTGACATTTGCTGTCTTCTTCCTCCCGCTGCTGACCAAGCACGCCCAGCCTGGCCTTTCACAAGGCAGCTGCTGGCCACATGAGTCTTTCTTCCTGAGGTCACATGCGGTAGTTTCCTTGTGGGACATGGGGAAGAAGGCCTCACATGTCCAGCAGCTACCTTGTGAAGGGCCAGGCCAGGCATGCCTCAGAACAGGGTGGCAGGGGCCTCAGATTGCAGGGCAGCAAGGGCAGCTGTGGCTGTGGCTTCGTCCCACAGTGCTGGGCTTGGCTGGGCTGGGGCAGCTGAGGCTTCATGCCACGGTGCTGGGCTGGGCTGGGGCAGCTGGGGCTTCTTGCTTTGGTGCTGGGCCAGGCTGTGGCTTTGTGCTGCACTGTGGCTCAGGAACATCTTGCAGCCCCAGAGCCACAGCATACCAAGAAGCCCTTGAGCTGCAGCATAGCAAGCTGCCCTAGAGCTGGGAGGTTCTGGGGCTGCTTGCTGCCCTGCAAGGCAGGGCGCAGGGCAGCCAAAAGGGCAGAGATAGGGGGAATAGGCTGTTGGAGAGAGTTGAAGGGGAGGTAGTCCCTTACCTTGGAAGAACCAAGGCTCGGGGCTGAGAGGGACCAACCCAGGAATGGCTTGGATTGGTTCTCAGCTAACAACTAGTGGGATTTGGTTAAAAATGCCAATGGGGAGTGCCAGGAGTGCCATGTGATCACATGATATTGAGCTTTATGACCATATCCCTTAGCAATGGAAATTCGAGTCCCAATTGCCATTGTAACTCTACAACGACCTGATACCTAAGGCCCAAGTATATTTTGCAGAGAGAAATAGTGACCTGCTCCCCAACACACACGTCATGATCCCATTTCATTCATTCCATTTATTGAATCCTAAAAATAGTTCTTCTACTTCTATAGTGGTATTTATCTCTAATTTATAAATATATTTAGAGAGGTTATTTATAATTTATTTCCATTTCTATGGTACACAACTCTGGGCAGCTTACAAGGATTAAAACAATATAACAAGATAAAACAAGAATAAAAATGGCCAGGTCAAGGGGAAAAATCACCACAGATGAACTGCAAACAATTCAAACCCAATCCTCAACCCTCAGTCATGGGTTATCATTACATCTCAGCCCAGTGCCTATTTATATTGCTAAAGGCCCATTGA